TTTAACAATGTGCAAGTATGTGTCGCCAATAGCAATAATCAGGTCCACTTGTATATAAATAGAGAAGGCCGTGGCAATAATAAAAACAGATGGCAAGCAGAATATGAATTATGGATTCAGAGGTTACTAATTTTTACGTCTAGACGACGGTTAAACATCATGGCACAACTCCGTACCACGGGCGAGGATCCTGAAATACTTTGGGTAGATTTGAACCTCCAATTTTAGCCCGGGCAGCGCCGTTAGGCTACTCTTTTCGATTTTCTACTGCCAAGGGATTTTTTTACTTGCGCAACAATACGCACGGGCGTCTGATCTTACTACACTTAGACTAGAGGAAATTACTAGAAGTCCACGTGAAAAAATCCCAGCCTTCCCCGGGGCCTGAACCCAGGACCTCCAGCACTTGAGGAGGACACCATGCCCCCGTTTACTAATCTTGAAATCAAATATATACGTTTTTTTAAAATATTATTTTTGAATAGATACGCTTTTTCAGTGTAATGTTTCTGAAACTATATGTAATCGGGATTATTCTTAAAAGAGAGCGTATTTTGTTTCATATCCAGAGGGATGGAGGTGAAAGGGGCGGGTGGTACGCTTTCGCTTAGGTTAAACTGGACTGAATATGGTCTCAAGAATTTTGAAAAGCTGGTCCTAAAGAGTGTGTTAGAAATTAGGGAAGCATTCACAAGCGATTCATGCAATTTTTTTTGGGGGGGAAAGGGGGGGGGGGGGGCGATTACTTGCAAAATTTGTACAATTACATGTATTCGTGAAACTGGCAGTAAGTTAACGGGTCGTTTTCATTTACATGTTATGGTTATTCACAGGGAAGGAAGGGGGAGGGGCTCTCAACGCAGTCTATTTTCATTGTAACAGCCTTTACTAAGTAGGTAAACATGTCCGTGTGCATTAAAATCTTGCCCTGGTGATCAAACCATTCATCTTGTTTTGAAAATTGCCTCACTCATAGTTTAAATAATACCCCCGGCCCTCCCAAACCTTTCTAAGTTGAAATCCTAAAGGATGTGAGTATTTTTCTGTTTCTTGTTCATTACACACTAAGAATCAATTTCATTGTTTTTAGATCACCGAGTTTCCAGACGATATTGTTTGTTTTGCTAGTGTTTCCATAGGTTAGGTTAGTTGCGTATCCTTTACAGGACGTTGCAGAACCATCCCAACAGCATCTGGCTGTTGTGTGGTTTTTCTAGGCAAATTTACGTCCAGTAGTTTAATTCCATAGACAAAATAATATAAATTTGCTACCTAAATGTATGCATTTGAACTATATAATGAAGTGCTCTGTTTACAGATCGCATTTCCTAAATCTGGCACTTTCGGATCACCATATACGCGTAAAGCCAAATGTTGACATGCCACCCTCAAATCTCCCACAATCGATGTGAATTTGGCAAGATTCGAACTTTTCGCCGCTGAACTTTGAGCCGAGTGCGGTCAAATCGACTATAAAACCAGCCGAACCTCTCTCCGGCAACTGGAGAATTTACAACCAGTTCATAATTTAGTCTCTGAGAATCTCAGATTTAGTTTGTAATTAAATCTTGCGCCGTTTAGTTGCCTCAAATACCGGAAAATAGTTAAAATGTCGTGCAGTTATTGAAAATAAACATGCGTGTGCTTGATTTCTACTAATTAGCGTGTTGGTTTGTGTGGAATGCAACGGGTATGTTCTGATTCTGACTAGTTGAAGTCCTGGTTAGTTATATATATACACTAAATTGTTAATCATTTATATTTGTTTTCTTCTTCTTCAACAACAACAACAAGAACAAAAGATTCAACTTACAAAAAGGTATTTATTTTATAATAGGTTTCATCCACCTGTAACAGTAAAGTATTTTGATAAGATTTTAAAAGTTTTACCTGCGTGTGTGCTTAGCCAAACAAAAAAGACGATGCCCACAGTGGTGCAGTTATTCTGTTGAGATTTTCCCTATGCAGTGGTGCTTAGGTATACGTACGTAGTTCTTTCCTGCTCCTTGTAAGTATACCAAAGCGAACGTATACCGAGTTACCACTGAATTTCATCTTGTTCGCCATATTATTGCTCAACACCAAGACAAAAATGAATCTCTTTTACAACAGCGAAAAGAAGAACGGTTAAATGTAACGGACATGTAATAAGATCTACCGGTCTCCCCGAAATGATTGGCTCTGTACAGGAGAAGAGGTACAAGAAAGACCTGGATACATAATCTGGATAAACGGACAGGTCTCAAACATGCAAATATCCAGCCCAGTGTTGCCGGTTAGAAAAGGCCTGCGAAATTACTTTTATTTTCAAATGTCTGCCACGGACCGCATACGTTGTGTATGTCATATGTTCGAATTGAAACAAAAGAGATTTGCCGCTTTTACGATGATATTACTATTTTAAAATTATTTCTAAATGATATTACGATTTCAAAATAATTTCCGATGTTACGATATCACAATGTTTTATAACTGATATTGCTATATCAACTTGATTTCTATATAAACATTATTTTAACTGATATTACGATACTAAATTGATCAATAACTGATATTAACGATATCAAAATAATTTATAATTGATATTACTATCTAAATTGTTACACGGATCATCGGGGTCCGCGGACAACCATTTCCAACCACTCTTCTGGTCCACAAAATCTGACCATCAGAGATGGACGGGGCTGACCAGGCAGTCAACAGCAAGTGGTGATCCAAAGACACGTGATGTTATAGGAATTTGATGATCACGATGATTATGAATGTGAAACATACACAAGTAAATCTTTACATTTGGAAACTCCACTGAATATTGGTTGACTGGCTTTTTACCCCCCCCCCCCTCCCCCACCCCCTGGCATCACACTGTGCGATAAACACCTGGCGACACAAAATGCAACCATTCGGACGAGGATAACCTTGTGGAGAGGTCTCAGAAACCCCGTTCAACCATTTGGTGATTTTAGGGTTCCTAAGCGGGGCTTCAAAATAGCGAAAAATTCGTCCGACGCGGGGACAAAGATTTGCACTGAACATTTTTGTCGACAATATTTTATTGAGTTCTGCTTACTAGGATCATTTGTGTAGCAACTGAAAATGTAATAAGTGTGTTTATGGCACGCTGGAGATATTTATTATTGGTCGTCCTTTCCGACCCCCCCCCCCCCCCCCTAGCCCCCCCCCCCCTCCCTCCCCGCATTTTCCCACATCATCACCATCCCCTCATCATCATCATCGCCACGCCATTTAAATGTATAGTTGGACTCGCAGCATGTTCTTCCATTACACTCTGTCCTGTGCAGCCTGTTTAGTATCAGTAATGAAATTTAGTCAGGCACCTTTGACCTCTCTCTTCAACATCAGTCGAATGGTTACTCTTGGACATTCTCGTTTCTAAGCTTCCGCAGAACATTTGTTTCTTATTCCAGTGCCTTTAAAAAAAATTTCTGTTGACTTCTCCACACGATGCGTCCAATATATCGCTGTTTTCTTTGCGCATAACTGTTGACACCAATGGTTGATCAGCCATTTTTTTTCTTTTGCTTGCTTCGTCTTTCTTCAGTTTACAAATGACATCAGGGATTGCATTTTTGACTAAAAAGCCCGAGGGTCTAGAATTCAAATCCACGTCGACGCGGAGTTTTCTCATTGAGAAGTCTATTTACTATTTCGTTTTACCACCCTTGCGTTCCAAAATCTCACTTTGGGGAAGAAAATAGACCCTTGTTCCTTGATGTAAAAGGCGACTAATCACAGATTTGATAAAATGAGATGTTTTGGGTCCAAAGGGCTGATATCACAGCCTAGCTATAAACCACATCACAACCAGCCTTTAAGCTTGAACTCAGCTGAAGAAAAAGTAGTCTCGTTTTACGATTATAGTGGTAAACAGGACATTGAAGTGTTTGTGTTACCCATGTTTCCAGTGTGAATTCCGGCTATCCATTCTGGTTGGGGAAGGGGTAAGGGGAACAAAGAATAGACCCACAGCCTACCTGACAAGCATGTCCTACATGGCGACTAATTATGGGAATTTCCTTCGAAGTCGGAGTGCATCTGTTCGAAAAGACGAGGAATCAGCGGTCTCTATGCAGATAACCCGGATCTGTAAAACAGATGTGTACACAAAACTTAAGTTCTAGAAGAAGACCAAATTCCAGAAGTGGACAACAACTAGAACTTTCGCTAGGAGTTTACAGCAGGTGAACGCCGAGAAGACGTAGAAGTTACTCGTTTAGTAGTCTCTGTGGTTTGAAGATCTGGCGTTCAGTGAACGGGTTTCACAATGCAATTCTCGGCGTTTGCCAGAGTTTGATTCCCACAGTCGCTTGTTTAGAAAAAGACTGTTCTTGTGGCTCTCAAACAATGACATGAGAGTGTTACTGTGGAAAAGTTTGGGACCACATCTCGTAATATTTACAAAATCATATATTACAACTTCCCTGTGTGGGATCCGGGATCCCATTGTGGGGGGAAAACAAGAATAGACCCACTGCCTATCAAAAAGCATGTCGTAAGAGTCGACTAATTGGTAGCTTCCTTTGAAGTCGGAGTGCATCTGCCTGAGAGGCAAGGAACAAACAGTCTGCAGTGAAAGTGAATCAGATCTTTAAAACTGATGCACACGCAACACCCAGGTTCTGGAGCAGGACTGCAGTCCAGGTGTGGACGAACAACCAGAACTTTCTGCCAGAGTGTACAGCTGGTAAACGCGAAGAAGAAGAAGATATATTACAACTAATTCTCTTTCTGGAGAATTTCTTCTACTTATCTCGTTTTTAAGACAACTATCTCGTTTTACTAGCATTTAAAAAGTAGTCAATAAGCGGTCTGAGAAAAAGGAGGACGTCCTAGGGACACTTTAAGAAGAACTTTATAACGTGAGGCTAGAAATACCAGGCTAAACTCCATATCCGAAACTGAGAGAGTTGCATGCAATAAAGTGGAGTGGGGGAATTGAATTCGCGCCCTATGTGACGTCTAACGGTACACAAAGGATGATGTTCTCATTTTACGATTATAATGATGAACAAGGCATTAACGTGACTTGGTTATCCCTGTAGCCGTCGCATAGGGATAGATTTCTTGATAGATCACATGTTTAAGAGAGGGGATTCCCCAGAGGTCAACTGATTGTAATGTATTTGTGTAGGGTAGGAGTGACTAAAACAGCTAATGGATAACTCAAGACTGTTTGGATTACTGGCTGTGCTTTCTGTATGGATGCCATTGCTGAGTCTAAGGTATTTGTCGAATTGTTGATCATTCGTGTCTGTGTTGTTTACCTGCTTGTCAGTCTGTCTAACTGCCTACCTGTCTGCCAAGAGTCGTTTTACCTCCTTTCTGTTCAACTACTCGGCTACTTGCATGCCTACATTCTGCCAATTACTTCCTTTATTGTACCACTTTTGCGGTGCAGGCAAAGGAGGGGAGGGAGGGGATGTTGAACCTGGGGATATAAGGCCGCATTGCTAGAGCTGTCGCCTCGTCTGTGCAGGTGAGAATTTTAATTTACCCCTGGCAGAAAAAAAAAAAAAAACCAGCCTTATCGAGTATCCTTTCCTCTTCTTCTTTCGTTCGCTTGAGATAAATTATCGGTATCTGTAATGTTGTCTCTAATATGAACTTCACTGTCTTTGTAATTCACTCAGAGACCCCAAAAGTTTGACTCGCGCCGATGTTTCTCTTGGCCAAAAGTTTTGCCTTGATATTTTGTGTTTGGGACAGTCTTGGAAGACATGATCTGTTGTCTCTGGTGCCAGTCCACATGTGAACATGGCTGATTCGTCGATTTTAAATTTTGTGTACAAGTGGCTGCGAAGTTGATTGTGTCCCGTTCTAAGGCGTAGAATAAGAATGTGGATAAGAAGGAACGTAGAATAAGATGTGGTAAGTATAAAGTAAAGGTCCCCTTTTCCATGCCTTTAAGCGTATTGGAATTATATATAGGGTTAGACCTATATGTTTATAGACCAATCTGCACTTTGTGGGTGATGTAGTCAGCATCACACCTGCCGTCTTTACTTCCCATGACTACACCAGGTACCCACTCAAAGCTGGGTCGACCTGGGAGTCAAAGTCATTTTTGAAAAAAGTCCGGCTGCGTCAGGACGCAAACCCAGGACCTTCTGATCTGCAGGCGGGCGTTCCCAGATGTGGTGATGGGGGACAAAAATGCTAAACTTGTCCAAGTCTTCAGACGTATTGGGCATGGGACTAGACCTATATTTTATAGACCAATCGGCACTCGGTGAGGGATGTAGTCAACATCACGCCTACCGCCTTTCCCTCCCAGGAATTCACCTGCTACCCATTTAAAGCTGGGTCTACCTGTGAGCCAAGGTCATTTCTGGGGGGAAAAAGCCCGGCGCTGTCAGCATCTGAAACCACGACCTTCGAATCCGAAGGCGAGCGTTTAGCCCCTACACCACGGCGATTCTCGAGGTAATTGTGTTAATCTATTTAATAATTTGATGGATTGAGATTAGAACAGCGCGACTTACTGACCTTAATTTTTGTGTGGCAGCGTGAGCAGCGCAATGACTGTGAGCAGCGAAGCCTCCAAGATCAACATGTCCCATGTTCTAGATGCCCTGCTCGAAGGCTACGACAAAAGGCTGCGGCCGGGATTTGGAGGTGAGTGGCGTGTCCCAGTTGTAACAAGATCAGCCTTTTCTCCTGTTAGGAATAATTCACACTAATTTTTCAGGTTGTCGTGTTCGAGCCCAGCTGCGGGCGATTTGGTTTCAGACCGCTTTGTTTTGGGGTTGACCGTGGTATGGACAGCCGACCGTTTAGTAGGCAGTGTCAAGCTACTGAACATAAACTTTAAAGTGATGACGTAAACAGGGATGACTCTAGTCCAGTTGATTGCAAGAAATGTTAAATCTATATATATATAAATCAATGTTTGTGTGTTTGTTTGCCCCCTATAGACTCGGAAACTACTGAACCGATTTAGCTGAAATTTTCAGGATATGTTTGTTTTGATACCGGATTTTGAACCATCGTGGTTTGAAATTCAACCTGTCACTGTTAGAGATAGATGACCACAATTTATGCCATAATATCCGAAACTAATATTTATACCTTTAGTGATTTTTAATTATAGCCACGTTAGTAATTGCGCATGCGCCGTAGTTACCATTCGCCGGCGAGTTACATGCAGCCAACGCCTTCTCTAATACATAGAGTAGGTCGTGGTACAGCAAACAAGACTATCTCTATATTTGCCACAATAACCATATTAAACACGATTTTTATTTTCTGTTTTTTTTCAAACAACCTTCGATTGGGGGAAGAAGGGGGGGGGGGGCAATCAAGGATTATCTGGACGTCGGCGCAGGCAGTGACTGCGACATTAACTTTATTAACCGTGTTAGACACGTGCGATTTCTATTGTTGTGCCGTTTCATTAATATATCTGGAGTATCTGTCTACGAGAAAACAATTGCCTGCGGTTTTGAATTGTGTTTTAATCGCGACACAGTAGTAGGGACACACATCTTTAATAGTTAAGTTCTCTTTTCGTTGATCCGATTAAGTGGCTGCTTGGTCGAATGGTTAAAACACTGGGTTCCTGTGCGGGAGACCTGGGTTCGAATCCGCAGCAGTTAAATTTTTTTTTTTACCCCGGACTAAAATAATATCCTTATTTGCTCTGTTGTGGTGACAGCACTATCCATGTTGCCTTAATATTTAAAAAAAAAAAAGGAAATGGGTAAACCATTTGATAATTAAATTTGACTATTTCGCATACTTATGATTGCATTTTTAAACTTTCCGATTGCATGGTTACGCTGAAATTTCATCGATTTTCATTTATTTTCATTTAGATTTAGTTATTTCATCTGCGTTGGAGTTTTAAGCTGTGCTGTTTACCATGGCGTTCATTTCCTAATTATGGTGTTTTTTCCTGTGTTCATTTGCTTTTCAAGTTTTTTTTTCCTCCTAACTACTTCAATGAGGGAAAGAGTGGGGGGGGGGGGGGGGGGGGGGGGGGGGGGGGTGACGGTGAATTTGGGGGAGGGGGGGGGGGACTATTAACTGAGAGAGCTTTAAGTCACAGTAACTGCTTTACCCACTTAAAGTAGCAGCAGCAGTAATAGTTGTGGTTGGGCTGTTAGACCATAGTGCTCTCATGTGAAGACCGCCGGTAACTGTCGGCAAGTGAAATTATACATCCTAACCTGACCAGTCTGTGGCGACAGCACTAGTCATGCGGAACCAAATCTTCTGGCTCACGACTCTCTGTCTACTCCGATGGTAACACAGATAGCAGTGACATTATTTTAGTAGTTGTACTGGTACTTAAAGGATGATGTGGTAAATATTACACTAGCCCCATTCACTACCTATTACAATTCCTGCTCCCTATTTTAGTCCAGATGGACAGGGATGTCAATGTCAGTTACAGCAACAACAAAAAATATCGCCAGGTAGTGATTTTCAAATCCTTTGAAGAGGGAGAGAGCAGTAGTCGGTGGAAGAGGGGAGGGGGTAATGACTTAAATTTAAGAGAACTTAAAGATCTTTACACGTGATTTTCAAGTTCTCATTACCTAATTTGTTTATATTTTACTAACGCTACCTCCGCTTTTCTATTTTTTACGGCTTACTTTGTTATTCACACGTACAGTTGTAACTTTACTTCCGTCCCCTATAAAAATACAAACAGTTTTAGCATGTGATAACCAAATAACCACTTTTGTTACCGTGCTAATAACACCATTTAAACGACCACTAATATAAAGACACAATTATAAGGTGCTAAGGACTATCTCTATATCTGTGCAGACAATGATTGCGACATTAACTATATTAGACACGTGCGATTTTCATTGTCTTTCTTTTCCAAAAATCTTTGATGAGGGAGAGAGTAGTAGGTGGATTTAGTTGTGGTGGTGGTGGGGGGGGGGCGGATCAAAGACTATCTCTATATCTGAGCAGACAATGATTGTATTAGACACGTGCGATTTCTATTTTCTTTCATTTCCATTTAGCCAAACTATGCCACAGCAACGCGTGGCCGGGTACAGCTAGTATAACATAAAATGACATCTCGACCTTGTTTTTATTTTTTTTATTTTTTTTTTATTAGCTCTGTTTTCTTGTCCCTTTTTCAGTCACGTTTTGTGTTGTTAAAGACTTTGGTCGAAACTTTTCGGTTGTGTTTGTGTGCGTCTTTTCTTTTCCATCCGTTGAATGTCTATAAGGTTGAACGGTTCTTGTGGAATTTGCTCGCACTGGGTTTGCATCCAAAAAGACGCTGTTTGTGAAACTGGGAGTCAGCCCCATTCTCCAATCTCCAGGGGGGAAAACCCTGTCGGACCGGATTCTTGAATGAATAAATTGAGACGTTTTCGTAGAACTGAATCCTGGATCTGTGTTGATCGCTTAATTACCCCTAGCATGAATTCCCTGAGGGCGGTGTAATTGATTAATGAAATAATTTAATGAGATTTCACACAAAAAGGAAAACGCCTGAGTTCAGGCTAAATTTTAGTTGGAATTTATAAAAATAATATCATGCTGAAGTGTGGAAAAAATCACGAATGAAAAATATTCGTGTTTTAAACACGTTCAGAACAGAAGAGGGAAAAAGTAGAAAAAGGTGTTATAAACAAAATGTATAATATAATTAACAAAAATTAGCTAAATTATCTGGCGCAGGCTTTTCTGTGGCTTATTTATGGGTAACGAGATCAGTAAATATGTAGGTGGTGATTGGAGTTTACAGAAAGTATTGTGACAGCATTTGTTACTTGACTGTTGCTTCAAACACATCAAGTGCGAAAGTGCCGATATTGTTTAATATTGACATCGATGGCATATAGCTACCCTGGTATCAGGGAGCACACACTTATTTTATGATCATTCATCACTTTATTTACCACCACTTTTTCGGTTTGTCATTCACACTCCGTCAAGTTGTGAGCGATCCCTGTCTGGTTTTAGAAAATCTTAAGATAACTTTGAACCCAGCCATCTGGTTCATGAAACGTTTTGATACTATCACTAAAACCCTTACACTCGTAGTATTTCATCACCACGTAAACCTTTGAGTGTGCTTTCTGTAGTATGGCTTGGCACTGAACGGGTTACGTGCGCTCTTGCTTTTAAAATTTGGTCGGAACATACCAAAGAAATCTGACTTCATCTACTGGTCTCTACAACTGTGTACACTGACATTGAAATTAATGCATTCGTGATTTTTCATCACGATTATTTCCTCAATGTGATATCTCATGTGAAACATAATAAAGAAAGAGTGACTGTTTGATATGATCTTAGTGTATACCATTCCCCCTCCCCACCCCTCACCGTCAATTATTTATTGTACCCTAAAATGTCTTCTCTGTGTCGATGTCGGATACCAAGGCTTCATATGCAGTGTCTGTAACAGCGCTATGTTGAAGCTTCTCTCAACTGTGCGGGCGTATCACTTTTATCAATTTTTATTCATATAGCATAGCATAGCCCTTGGCCCGTCAGGGTCGTGGAGGTCTGACTGACTGACTGACTTTCTACCCCACTAGGACATCACACAAGCGATAAACACCCGATGACACAAAGTGCCACCATGTGGATGAGGATCGCCGTGGAGAGGTCCCAGAAACCGCGTTCAGACAATTGGCCATACTTATGGCCTGCCTATATTGCGGACCCTGGCAAAAGCCAGGGTGGGGCTTCAAATAACACAAAATGTCATCCTGAAAAGGACGAAACTGGATTAGTGATTTGAGTAATCGTGGAAGTGCATTGATGAAAGCACTATCACATAAAACCCACCATCTTACGCTGTCTTCCGCTTGATGAATAAGTGTACGATAACTTAGTCCTGTCCATTTCTTGACGTTGGCATTCCAGACCGTATTTAGCTGGTACATCACCGCTTCTACCATATCAAGCTTTGTCTTGATTTCTTAAGCACATCTGCCATGGTTACACATGTGGGAGCAGAGATATTTAAATGTTTTAACTTCTTGAAGATGAACCCCTTTATCTGTGTATTGGTAAGTACTTGATTGTGACTACTTATCACGCCATATTTACCACAGACTATCTCTAATTCTGTAGTAAATTCTTTGAGTTCTGTTTCGGAACTGGCCATGAGAATAATGGCGTCTGCAAAACGTAAATTACATCATGTTTTTCCGTCAAGGGATATAAGTGTTTAATGAATTTCTAGTGTCTCTCTCATGACGTGTTCCAAATACAAATTGAAGAGGACAGGGGATGGTATGTAACCCTGTCTCACTCCCACACTGGTTTCGACAAATTTGCCTATGTCATTTGGAATGAGTTCTGCACGGCTTGCATCTTTATAAAGTGCTACAATAGTGTCTACGATGTTCCTAATGAACTTAAAATTTCTTATTATTTGAATTCGAATGTATTGATATATAAAGAATTCTCCTCCTGTCTCCGTATCACGTTTTTTTTTTTTTTTTTTTTCTGTTTTGCATTTAACCTCCATAATCCTAGATGTTGGTATTCAACGAAAAACACTTTTTATATTTTCTATTACTGTAAATGCCATAGTTTATGCAATGTATTCTCCCTCGCGACATCTTTCTCAAAATGCCCCATATGTGCTCATAGACCTTTTTAGAAAGAAGAAAAAGAAGCAAAAC